CCAAGCCTCCAAGTGTCCCCAAAGCCCCTCCGTGTCCCCAATGTCCCCCGATGTTCCCCCCGTGTCTCCAAAGCCCCTCTGTGTCCCCAAATGTCCCCCAACGTCCCCCCATCCCAGAGAGGCTCAGGCGTTGTGCGTTTGGTTTGTTTTTTTTTGGGGGGGGGAGGTTTATTGGGGGGGTTTATGGCTTTGGGGGCCCCCCCCGGCCCCACACACAGACACAAACCGGGGGGGGGAGGGGACACACGGACTACGGGGGGCCCGGGGGGGGTCACACGGAACTGTGGGGGGCCCAGGAGCCCCCCCGGGGGGGAGGCCGAACACACACACTGGGGGGGAGGGAGGAGTTGGGGGTCCCCGGAGGCCTTTTGAGGGGACCCCCATAGACACACACAAAGGGGGGTGGGGCCAGGGGTCTTTTTGGGCCCCCCATAACACAAAGGGGGGTTTGACCCCCGGGGTCCTTTTAGCCCCCTCCCCCCGTACAAACACGTGACACAAGGGGGGGGTGGACGGTCCCCAGGTCCCTTTTGGGGCCCCCCAAAACACAAAGGGGGAGTTGGACCCCCAAAGGTCGTTTTTGGGGGCCCCCCATAACACACAAAAGGGGTTGGGGGGGTCCCAGGTCCCTTCTTTTTGGGCCCCTCCCACACACAAACACATGGGGGGGAGAGGCCAGATCCAGGACCGCCCCCTGGCCGGGGGAGGGGGGTCGGGGCCCCCCACAGACCTGGATTTCGGGGGGTTCACAGTGGGGGGGGGCCGGGCCCCCCCTTGTCGTGCAGGTCGGGGGGGCCCCGGGGGGGGTCCCGGGGGTCCCTTTATGGCTTCGGTGTCGGGGCCCCCCCTGGCCGGGCCGGACCCTCCGGCCCCGGAGCCTGTGGAGAGAGGGGGCAGTGGGCTCCCAGTATGGACCAGGGGACTCCCAGTATGGTAAAGTGACATCCCCGTATGGTAATGTGAACTCCCAGTAGGGTCAAGTGGCTTCCTAGTATGGCTTGGTGTTCCCCAGTATGGCCCAGGGGGCTCCCAGTATGAAGAAGTGGCCTCCCAGTATGGTCCAGTGGCCTCCCAGTATGAGATGGTGACCCCCAGTATGAAAAAGTGGCCTCCCACTATGGCCCAGTGCCCCTCCATTCCCTCTCAATCCCTCCCAGGACCCTCCCAGTTCTTCCCAGTACCTCCAGTACCTCTCCTAGTGCCCCCAATAACTCCCCCACTCCCCTCCCAGTGTGTTCCCAGTGCCCTCCCGTCCCTCCCAGTGCCTCCCCACTCTCTCCCAGTGTTCCCAATAACTCCCCCAGTCTCTCCCAATGCCCCCCAGTCCCTCCCAGTGCCCCCAATAACTCTCCCAATGCCCTCCAATCCCTCCCAGTCCCCCCCAGTCCCTCCCAGTCCCTCCCAGTGCTCCCAATCCGGCTCTCACGGGCTCACTGGGGGCCCAGGGGCTCCCCCAGGGCCGGTTTGTCCCGCGAGGTCCCTTTGGCCACCAGAGCCTTTTCCTGGGGACATTTGGGGACATTGGGGACATTGGGGACACACTGGGGGACATTGGGGACAATGGGGACATTGGGGGGATTTGGGGACGTTGGGGACATTGGGGTTTCTTGGGGGTCCTGTGGGTTTTGCAGGATCCTGGGGGGTCCCCGTGGGTTCCTGATGGGCTCAGGGGATCCCAGGGGGTCCCAACAGGTTGTGGGGGGTCCTGAGGGTCCCCACAATTCCTGTGGGTCCCAGGGGGTCCCAAGGGATCCCGGGTGGTGGGGGTCTCACCTCGACGAGCGTGTGCCAGTGCTCGATGGGCTTGCGGGGGTTCGCCAACATCTGTGCCCAGTGCTCCCGGCCCGGACCCTCGGCGTCGCTGCCCACCCGGCACAGCCCGATCACCTCGTTGTGCCCGATGCTGGGGGGGCCACTGTGGGGTCAGGGGGGCACCCCCAAGACCCCAAAAACCCACCATAGACCCCAAAAACCCACCATGACGCCCCCAAACCCACCACAGACCCCAAAAACCCCCCAGGACCTCCCAAATCCCAGACCCTCATTTTTGCTCCCTTGTGCTATCCCCCTCACACGAGGGGTCCCCAGTGGCTCCAGGAGGACCCCAAACACCCCCCAGGACCCCCCCAGAGACCCCCAGGACCCCAAAACCCTCCCAGGACCCACAAAGTTCATCCAGGCCCCCCCAGGACCCCCCAAAACCCCCCCAGCATCGACCAGTCCCAGCCAATGATGGGGGTCCTCAAACACTCCTCAAACGAGGGGGTCTCCCATTGCTCCAGGAAGACCTCAAACCCCCCAAGGACCTCCCAAGCGCCCCCCCAAGTCCCTGCAGGGCCCCCCCGGCTGACCAGTCGTAGTCCACGACGGCGATGGTGAGGCTGACGTGGTTGACGCTCTCGTGGGGGACATCAAAGACCAGCGCCTCGTTGTAGCTCGGGTTCAACGTGTTCTTCTTGATGGACGTCTTGCGCTTCTTGAGCCGCCGGCCCTCAGCCATGAGCGAGGCCTTCACGTAGGGGTCTGCTCGGGGGGCCCCAAAAACCCCTCAGCAACCCCACAGAAACCCTACATACCTGAGCACACCTTTACCACACACCTGTGACACACCTGAGCACACCTGGGCACACCTGCGACGCACCTGAGTACCCCCTGAGGTCCACGGCCCTGTGTCCCCCCATGTCCCACACCTGTCTGACACACCTGGGCACACCTGGACACACCTGTGACGCACCTGAGTAGCCCGTGAGGTCCATGGCGCGCAGGTTGGACGCCCGGATGACGGTCACCGTCAGCCGCCCGGCCGTGGGCAGGTAACACAGAGAGAAGTTCACCTCGCCCAGGTCCGGCTTCTCCTGGGGAGACACGGACAGGTGAGGGACAGGTGAGAGGTCAGGAGGGTCACATGACCATGACTAGTTAATTAAATCAGAAATTAAATTGTGAATTAAATTATGGGTAAATTAATAAACCAACTCATTAATTAAATCTCAAATGGAATTATAAATTCAATTCCCAATTAAATCAAATTCCAAATTAAATCCCAAATTAAAATCCCAAGTTAAATGCCCAAACAAATCAAATATCAAACCAAAAATTAAATCAGGAATTATATTATTTTAGATTTTTATTATGTTTATAATTAATTTTAGTATTATAAATAATAAACTTAAATCATATATTCAATTCTAAATTAAATATTTAAATAGCAAATCACGTCACAAATTAAAGCTTCAATTAAATAATAAGTCAAAAATTTAATAATAAATTAAACCCCAAATTAAATCCCAAATTAAATCCTGAATCAAATCCCCAATCAAGGTGCAAAACTAAATTAAAATGCAAATCAAAATGCAAATTAAACCACAAACTACACTGCAAAATGAAATGCAAAGTAGATGCAAATGAGATGCAAACCTAGATACAAATGAGATTCAAAATAAATTAAGAAAATACATACTGGATGCAAAATAAATACAAATTAAAATGCAAATGAGATTCAAAATATAAATAATGTATTAACAAGATTCAAAATCAGATGCAAATGAGATGCAAATGAGATTCACAATAAATACAGGTGACATATGAAATAAACAAAAATACAAATGAGATGCAAAATAAATACAAATGAGATGCAACATAGATGCACCTCATATGCCAAATACATGTAAATCACATGTAAACAAGAGTCAAAATAAATGTAAATTGTGTTCAAATGAGATGATAAATAAATATTAACTATATGCAAAATAAATACAAATCAGATGCAAATTGAAAGGGGAAAAATTAAATAAATACAAATTATATGTCAAATAAATACAAATGATATGTAAATTGTACGCAGACGAGCCCATCCATTGAATAGCAGCCCCCGCCCCCTCACCTGCCCCCACACTTGTCCCAGGGACCCTTTCTGGGGGGATTCTGGGGGTCCCAACTCCCTCCCCAGGGGGTCCCTGTCTCCCCTCCCTCCCCGTTTTCGAGCCCCCCTTACCCCCGTGCCCTCCTGGATGTCCCTCCAGATGGGCACCTCGGGCCGCCCCTCGGCCGCCTCCAGCAGGTTCTCCAGCACCACCTGCCCGATGAGGTCGTGCCGGGAGAACCGGTCGAAGTCGTAGACGCTGAAGTGGAGGCGCCGCGAGGGCAGCTCGGCGAAGGGCACCCCGAAGCTGAAAGTCTCGTCCCACTCTGGGTTCAGGGTCTTCCTCAGCACCTTGGTCTGGAACTTCTTCTTGCGGTCGGGGAGGAGGTAAATCTTCACGTAGGGGTCGGAGAAGCCGTTGGAATCCTTGGCCGGGAGGTCCCGGGCGCGGAGCACGCGGACCACCAGCTGCTGGGAGCCGTAGGAATAGCGCAGGGACACGCTGAGGCGGCCGCAGGGAGGGGGGGGGCCCCCCCCGGAGCCCCCCCGGGCCCCCCCGGGCTCGACGGCGTCGCCGGGGCCGTAGAGCTCAGGCTGGATCTGGCCCAGGTGGGTCGGGTTCTGCTCGGCCTTGTCCTCCGGGACGGGGGGCAAGGGGGTGCTGGCGGGGGCAAAAATAGGGAGAGGGGGTTAAAGGGGTGGTAGGGACCCCCCCTGTGGGGTGTGGCAGGGTGGGGAGCCCCCCCGTGTCCTTTCGTGGTGAGGGGGCTGGGGGGGGCACCCATGTGACCTTCCTGGTGAGTGTGGAGGCAGGGGGGGCACCCAGAGAACCCCCCTGGGGCACGTGGGGACAGCAGGGGCACTCCTGGGTATGGGGGGGACACCCAGAGACCCCCCCGGGACATGTGGGGATGGGGGGGGTGTCCCTTGTCCCCCCCCCAGTTCACAAAGCTGGGGGTTCCCGTGTCCCCCCCTTGTCCCCCCCACCCCCTGTGTCCCCCCCTTGTCCCCATGTTCCCCCCCATCCCCCCCTTGTCCACAAGCTCCCCCCTTACCTGCTGCCCACCAGCTGCTGGGAGGGGGCGCTGGACAGACCCCCCCCTACCCCCCCATCCCCCCCAAACTCGGGGGGGCCCTGGGGGGGTCCCGGGGGGAGTCCCTGCCCCGCGGGGGGGGGTCCCAGCGCCCGCCCCCCCCCACTGCCCCCCCCTCCCACTCCCCCCTCAGGGCACGGCCCCATGTCCAGGTAACAGCGCTCGTGGGGGGGTGGAGGGGGCTCGGGGTCCCCCCTCTCGGGCAGGGGGTCCCCAAAAGGGCCCCCCCCGGGCTGGGGGGGCTCCTTGCGTGGGGGGGCCCCCCCAGGTCCCCCCTTGTGGCGCCAGGGGACCCAGCAGAGCTTCCAGGACACGAAGAGAGAGACTCCCAGGAGCACGAGGCCGCAGAAGGTGACGATGACGGACAGGAGGCTCACGGACACCTCTGGGGGGGGGACATGGGAGGAGCAAGAGGCGTCTTGGGGGGGTCCCCGAACACGGGGGGCCCTGAAACCCACCCAAAACGCTCCAAAAGGGCAGCAAAATTCGCTTAAACCATAAAAAAGGGGCATGAAATTGACTTAAAACTGATGTAAAGGGGATTAAAATCCACTTAAACCCTCCTAAAGGGGCACCAAAACACACCTGGGACCCCCCAGGTGTGTCGCTGTCCCCAGGTGCCCCCCAGGTGCCCTTCCAGGTGTGTCCCTGTCCCCAGGCGCCCCCCAGGTGTGTCCCCCCCGTACCTGTGTCGGCGGGCCGGGGGTGGCCGCGGTGCCGGAGCAGGTCGGTGAACTCGAGGCACCGGGCGTGGGGGGGTCGGGCCCGGGGGGCGAAGCAGAGCTCGTGCACCAGGCGCAAAGCGCTGCGGCAAACATCCTCCTCGTAGTCCCCGGACATGCCTGGAACACGCCTGGCACACGGGAACAACACAGGACACGCGTGGGACAAACGTGTTACACCCCTCAACACGCCTGTCACACCTGGACACACCTGTATAGATCTGAACACACCTGGACACACCTGTACATGTGGTCACACACCTGGAC